CAGAAGATTAGGATTTGAGAGAACACAAAGAATAAATGCACCGGCGCCACTGAGAACGATTTTGAGCCATGTCATTCAAGGTCTCTAACCATCGATCACCACGTCAAGGTAGCAGCTACGGTCGGGACAACCAGTATCTGTAGAGACTCTGTCTTCTCACAAGGAAGGAAGGGGTTAGAGAAGGTCAACTCTAAAAATGTTACACATCACCTTACTCTAAGGAGTGCCGTCTCTAGCTATACGGCCTTTTGAAGAGCGGAGCTTTCCACAGAATGACCGTGCGTGACCAAATTCAGGCACCTGTTATCACGCTTCAAGTTCGCTAAGACTAACGTTAATTTAGTTTCGTTTTCAAGATTCGGCCTTAAACAGCTGTCCTTTTGGCTCTGCGGTCACGCTTTCAGGTCTCTAAGATCAACGCTAATCCGATTTCTTTTTCAGGTTCCTGAAGAAATACCCTAACACGGTGTGCGCTGCCTGGAAGTGACATCCGCCATGATACCCGTAACAGGACACGAGAACACATTGGTCACAATCAAATCCTGCCTACACCTGGTAACAATTGTGTGATTCCAACTTTTTACTATACATCTGGTTAAGATGATCATGATGCCTTAGTCTAACATTGACCTGATTAACTCTTCATTATGTCAGCTGATTATTAATTAATATAAAAACGACCTTGAATAACACCGGCACAACTATCAAACAAACATATGAACCATCCATTTCATAGTGAATGCTGTTTTTGTGAATAAGCCAAACTGTTTTTTTTTCACTTATACATTCAATTGTTCAATAGTCAATATCACAGACGGTAAAATCAAAAAAAAATTAACCCCCACTACTTCAATCCAGAATCAAAAAAAAACTAAACCTCTTCATCGTTTACTTTATTTAGAATAAAAACACAAAATATTCTTGAGATCATACGACAATACCGTTCACAATTCACTTATCAATTTGTTTTGTTTAAATAATAATAATCTCATTAGTTCAGTGGAATAGAATTCAAACTGCAATCAATTGTATGAACATGTAGTTAGTTAGTTATGACCAAATTGCTCAGTGTTTGCTTGAATACTTATGAAATCTACTGTTCTGCTGTTTAATAATATTCTCATGTGACCCCTAATTTAGTTAGTTTCACGCTTTTCATTAACATTGATTACTACTAAACTTATCCTTACCACATTAGTATTCACTGGACAGCTAGGGCGTAGCTGGACGATCTGGAATTCGCAGATGACCTGGCTCTTCTATCGCACATGCAACAACAAATGCAAGAGAAGATGTTCAGTGTGTCAGCAGCCTCTGCAGCAGCAGTTGGTCTCATCATACATAAAGGAAAAAGAGAAATTCTCCGATGCAACACAACATGCACAAACCAAATCACTCTTCATGGAGATGCCTTAGAGGACGTTAACACCTTTACATATCTGGGCAGCATCATCGACAATCAAGGTGGATCCGATGCAGATGTGAGGGCGCGGATTGGCAAAGTGAGGGCTGCATTTCTACAAATGAAAAATATCTGGAACTCCAAACAACTTTCAACCAAAACCAAAATCAGGTTTTTCAATACAAATGTCAAGACAGTTCTACTGTATGGAGCGGAAACATGAAGAACTACCAAAGCCATCATCCAGAAGATACAAGTGTTTATTAACAGTTGTCTACACAAAATACTTTGGATTCGCTGGCCAGACACCATCAGCAACAACGAACTGTGGGAGAGAACAAGTTAGATTCCAGTGGAGGAGGAAATGAGGAAGAAGCGGTGGAAGTGGATAGGACACACACTACGAAAATCACATAACTGCGTCACAAGACAAGCTCTCACATGGAACCCTCAAGACAAAAGGAAAAGAGGAAGGCCAAAGAATACATTACACCGAGAAATAGAGAAAGATATGAGAGGAACGAGCAAACATTGGCCCGAACTGGAAAGGTAAGCCCAGGACAGAGTTGGTTGGAGAAAACTGGTGTGCGGCCTATGCTCCATTGGGGTTAACAGGCGTAATAAGCAAGTAAGTAAGTAATTAGTTCAGTGGAATAGAATTCAAACTGCAATCAATTGTATGAACATGTAGTTAGTTAGTTATGACCAAATTGCTCAGTGTTTGCTTGAATACTTATGAAATCTACTGTTCTGCTGTTTAATAATATTCTCATGTGACCCCTAATTTAGTTAGTTTCACGCTTTTCATTAACATTGATTACTACTTACTTATGTTTACCACATTAAGTAAGGTGTAATTTTCTAATGCAATTTTTACAATGATGCATGCTCAATGCAAACGAATGGAAACACAACCACACAACCAATAATCAATAAGTTTTAAGATTCTTTTTTTTGTAAAGTTTTCATCAGCAAACAAAGAAACAAAAAAGAAGATTGATGAACAGATTTACCAGTGTATTTATTTTACTTGTATCTATGTCATAGGTAGGTAGGTAGATAGTGATCACAATGTGCATACAGTGTGTGTGTTGAGTAGTACATTTTCCTTAAAACTAAAAAATCATTAACCTCATGTGAGAAATAATCTCTTTTTTTTTCCATTTGAAAAATTGATTAACAATGAAATGAGAGTTGCATTAAGTTTACATGAAAATGAAACTAGTGAAATGAGTGGTGTATTTATAATAATAATAATAGTTCCGTCAGAGATGTCCACACTATCCATTCTTGTTTAATTTTATCATAGACATGCTCCTAGAAATAACCTTATCCTCCTCTGAATTTTCAGGAGACTCGCTTATCGACTTAGAATATGCCGATAATATAGTCCTACCTGGTTAAGACGCTGACAAAATGCAGAGTCTTCTGACTACCATAAGCAACAATGCAAGCATGTTCGGGATGTGGTTCTCAACCTCGAAATGAAAAATGTTGCTTCAAGATTGGGTTGCATCGCCACCTGAACTAGTGATAGGGGGTGAAGTAGTCGAACGTGTAGACCGCCTCACTTATCTTGAGAGTCTCATCAGTGCTGATCGCCTGGTGACTGACGAAATCTCAGCTCGGATACAGAAGGCTCGATTGGCTTTTGCCAGTTTACGCCATTTATGGGATAGGCGAGATATCCGTTCGCTAACCAAAAGGACGGGTGTACTGCGCAGCAGTTCGTTCCGTTCTCTTATATGGCTGTGAAACATGGCCGTTAAGAGTAGAAGATGTTCGTAGGTTGCTATTATACGATTATCGATATCTCCAAAGCATTGCTCGTTTATCCTGGGACAACCGAGTAAGCAGTACTGTTGCCAGGAAACGAGCTCTAGGTAGGGGTGGCAAATCAATATATGAAGTAGTGAAACTTCATCATTTAATGTGGTTGGGACATGTGTTACGTATGGATAACCACCGACTGCCTCAACAAGCTATGTTTTGTGGTGTAGGAGTAGGTTGAAAGAAAGTTAGGGGCGGCCAAACCAAAACATGGCAGAAATCCATGAAATCACTAACAAGTGGACTGAATCATGTTTATGGATGTAGGCTAGCTGGTTGGCGTCCGCGAGATGAAAGTCACCGGTGGTTAGAGACTTTGAACGACATGGCTCAGAATCGTTTGCAATGGCGCAGGTGCATCCACTCTTTGTGTTCTATGAAATTCTAAGCTTCTGCATTCCTCATCATCTCTATCTTTCTCCTTCTAAATTTATCTTACTGAATTGTACTTCTCGAATCATATCTTCGCTCCCTAATCTTTTCCATTACTGGTAATACTTTTAATATTGCTATCAGTCTTGGATTTGAACTGACAGTTGCGTCTTTGTGCTGATGTGTTATGGCAACCTGAACTGATGTACTTATGTACGAAGTTGTGCGTTGTATCTGTCTGTCTGTCTGTCTGTCTGTCTTATAATGATAATAATAATTATTATTATCATTATGTGGAATAGTAGAGAATCGTGCTGTTTAGAGATAAAAATTTTAAATGTAAGCTGGTGGAGTTGATCGCAAAATGTGGGAAATTGTAAGTTGATTGTCCATTTGAGAAATTGATCTTATTTAATTTGATCATACAGAATAGGCCAACAATTGAACTGGCGCCTAAGTGTCCAGGTAAGGAGAAAGTGTGCCGTTCCTAATTCTGCTCACTAAATGTTCTCAAATGGACACACGTTTATGCTCACTGACAGGCTAGTTCTAACACAACAATGTTGTTTACAGATTGCTCAAAATGAAAAGCGAAAGTCCCACTACAATTTAATCCAACCTAATGGGTATAGAAGGTATATCTAGGGAATTTAGAAAGCCCAGGTTCTTAACCAAAGATACAGGCAGGTTTCAGAATCTTGAGAAAGCAAATTGGTATATGAACATATTATTGGTTTCACATTTAGCAATTAAATAATTAAATTTATTTACTGATTGATTGATTGATTGATTGATTGATATTAATATATAATTATTGGTATAAAGGAATAGATCAATATTTAAATGATATAAAAATTATTGAATTTACGAATGAGCCGTAATAGCGTTTGGTGCCCAAACTTTAGAAGCTAGTTTTCTCACGAGGCATTCAATGAGCCTTTTCATCTACAGGTCTAATATATAAAAGGCAGTGAATGAATCTCATTGTGTTGTCAGTCACCAATAATATATTCATATATCAATCTGTTCTCGCAGGATTCTGAAACCTACGTATATGTTTGATTCGGCATTGTGGCTATCCTAATTCCCCCCTAGATCTTACCTTCCTATACCCACTGAGTTGTTCATTTTGTGCATTTTGTAAACGAGATCAGTGTGTTGATCAGACAGTGAGTAGGATTAACCTGTCAGTGAGCATAAACATGTGTCCATCTGTCAATATATTTGATGAGGTCAATTAGGGGTGCGGGGGCGGAGCACAACACCCTATTCCCAATTTCATTCGTACCAAAGCATTTAGGGGCTCAATTTTATGACAAAATCTCTGCTAAACTGCTAAACATCATGACTGATAAAAATTATTTCAAAAAATAAGAATAAACCAACAAAAACTTACAAATCCATAACCGCGACTTTTTCCAGTTTGTCGATCCGTTATCACAACCGCTTCATCAATCGGACCGAATTGATCGAAAAAACAACGTAAACTTTCATCGGTTGTATGATATGGCAATCCACCAACAAAGATTTTTGTTAAAGTTGTATCTTTTTGTAAATTTGATGTCATGATGTCATGTAGTGTTATTTGAATTTAATTCAATCACAGACAATAATGATTACAATGTGAATTGTTTATTTTTCTTGAAAAAAAATTTAAAATCTTCTTGTTAAAAAATTAAATTCATACTCCAAATTTTTTAATCGAACAATTAAAACAAAAGAAACACTGAATAACACAATATTTTTTCAATGTCCAATAGTTGACAAATAAATTGTGAGCTGTAAAATTGTTTTTCGTTTCGTTTCGTTTTGTTTGTTTGTTTGTTTGTGTGTGAGTAAGTGAGTGAGTGAATATTATCGACAACTCTGTGTGTGCAACTCTCTAATTGTTTGATTAATTTTTTCCTTGAGAAAAAAATTAATTATTTTAATTTTTCACAAAAATGATTGGACAATGATCAATTGATATGGTGCATTTTCTGATGAATAGTTCGTTGATTGGCCAATTAGTGCATGTCTTTACTATGCCAAGTAATTTATGAGCAGTTTTTGAAATAACCAATCAGAATTTAGAAAATTTTTCTCGTTTATATTTTTTTAGGTCAAGATATTATATAGTATAAGAAATTAATTAGTTCAAGAGTTAAATAATGTCAAGAATTTAAATCTAATTAATTTTTTATATATATTTTTCAAACTAATAGATCTAATATAGTTCAATATTGTAAAACTCTAATATTAAACGATCAGATATAACGTAGGGTTGGTTCTGGTGATGTTAAGATGGAAAGTTAATAAAATTTATTGATTCCTAAGTGCATTTTTATTATAAATTAATACTCAGTGGAGAATTATGAAAAACTACATATTGCTAGACAAACGTCTAAGTCTTCTTAACGTTTTTAAACATTTAAATCATGAATCAATCATTGATAGACAATCATTAGAAACCTTGAAACACTGGACAGCTGTTTCGTCCTCGTATGCGACTTATCAGTGGCTGTATGCATTCATAACTCCAGCTATTCACAGGACTCGAACCCAGGACCTTAAGTCCTGCGTGCAAATATCTAACCTCTGAACCACTGGACCGGCATGTAAGATCCAAACTGAGGTTTAGATTGAGGAATAACTGTCCAGGTAGTTTAGATACGCACCTTGCCCAGATGAAATCATAAAAGGGGATTTGGGCAAATAACGATTCTAATATTCATCATAAATATAAATCTACATCAGTACTTAAACAAATATTACCACTCAGTTATTCCACCAACAATTGTTCAATTATTCAAATAAATAGCAACAAATTAATGTTATTCTATCCCTCCTGGTTGCTTATAACACAGAGTGTTGCCTATTCTGGAAGAGTGCTTCAATTCACAATCAAAATGCACACTTCCAGTTAAAGCAATCAACCCAATCAGAAGAAGAACAAGTCAATATGAATTTCGCCATGACTAAGTATCAGCTTAAACAACATAAAAGCAGTTCAGAAAGAAACATAGAAACTCAGTAAAAGGCAAAAGAAATAGAAACTATAATAAAATACAAATATTATCATCTTAAAAATGGAATCGAACAGATTAACAAAATGTACAACTGAAGGAAACAATAAGAACAAATTAAAACTGTGTCATATATGGAAGGATTTTCACATTAAAGCCTTCAAAAAAATAGATGAATCTTACACGGCATCCAACAATGTTCATGTCTAACTCTAATCAATCTTACGAGTTTTTGTACGACCTCACTCATTTATCTCTCTCGGTAGTTAGTTACTGCCTACAACACCCAAATGACTGATTCTTGATTTCAGTAACACCTTATATTGTTTTTCGCTTTAATAAACTTACATTGAAATAAAATATGCCGCCATTATTGTCAAGAAAAAAAAACAAGGTGTTAATACTTAGGATTGTTCACATTACTGTTTCAGTTGACAAAATAAAAAATCTACATGTTTAAACATGTTGTATAGATGATAGATGATAAACTATTTCATATCAACATATCATTTGAAATTGGATTCTTTTTGGTTTTAAGAAGGGTTCAAATCAAATATTCAGATAAGTAGTAATTGTTTAATTGTATTGTACATGCATAAATCTGTTGGAATTTTCTTGTAACACCCTGTGAATGAGTAATATAAGTCATACATACATGTATTTCTATTTTTTATCATTCGGGTGTGTAACAGAAACAAATTCAAAACCGTTCTTATGATGTAGGATTAAACTGTGAAAATGGTGCATGTAGGACAGCTGACAAACTTGTTAGAAGTAAAGACCAATGTCACAAAAAAAGGTTGCTTAGTCTCATGCTTTCTCTTTGACCTGGTAATCGACTGGATTGTGAAGACGTCAACATCTCAGGAGAAGCATGGGATATAGTGGACAGTTGGAATGCAGCTGGATGATTTGAAGTTTGTAGATGATCTGGCTCTTCTATCCCATAGGCAACAATAAATGCAAGAGACGACGACTAATGCAGAGGGAGCATCTTCAGCTGTAAGTCTCACCATATACAAAGATTCTCCGATACAACACAATATGTACCAATCAAATCAAACTTGACGGTGAGGCTATGAGAGATGTGAAGACCCAGATCAGCAAGGCAGGGGCAGCATTTATGCAATTGAACAACATCTCCAACTCAAAGAAACTGTCAACCAACACCAAAGTCACAATTTTCAATACAAATGTCAGGGCAGTTCTGCACTATGGGGCGGAAACTTGGAGAACTGACAAAGCCATCATCCAGAAGATACAAATGTTTATCAACAATTAACCATGTAAGATACTTCGGATCGATTGACCGGACACCATCAGCAACAACCTATATTATGAGAGAACAACCTAGTCTCCAAATGAGGCAGAAATAAAGAGAAACAGCTGAAAGTGGGTGGGACACACATTGTAAAAAGCACCCAACTGCGTTACTAGACAAGCACTCACTTGGCACCCTCAAGGTCTAAGGAAAAGAAGAAGGCCAAGAAACACATTACGCAGAGAAACATAGAAGGACATGAGAAGAACGAAAAAAAGTTGGACAGGATTGGAAATGGAAGCCTATGTTGGGGATGTTAGATCGCCAGAACTCGCTTGATAAATGCATTATCTTGGAGTTCACGTTTGTGAGCATGGGCTGATCAGCTGGCCTTGAGATTTCATTTCCCACCAGGAAAATCCTTGGCTGTGAGTGGCTGCTGTGTATTTTGGTGTGCTATTTTTGTGACTGTCCCAAAGACGTTTCCATGACGTATAAATAAACGAGAGTTGTGTGCTTGAATGTATTGTGTGATTGCTCGGTGTTTGTAGAATATAATTTCTACGCTTATCAAGAATTCTGTTTTGCAGTTTTGGGATCAATGTAGCCTACCTGAACACTGGTTCATTGTCTCGTTCGCGCTTATCGACTAAGGTGAACTCGTAATAGCTTCAAGCGTACCTAGTAACGAACCTAACATCCCACGACAGAGTAGTTTGAAGAATGCTAGTCAATGGTTTATGCTCCATTAGGGGGTTACCAGGCGAAAGTATGTAAGTAATATTCACTGGTATCGTTGAATATTTTTCAAAAGAAACTTCATCATCAAATTATTGATAGTTGGTTGAGTTATTTTCCTTTTTTTGAAGTGTTTCAATGAAGTTTTCCATATTAACATTTCATGATACATTGGTATATGTGAGATTCAGAATTTATAAATCCCTAGGTAGTCTCAAATGTCATGTGTATCAAGGTTCCTTCTACTTCTAATCGATTTCTGTCTATCGACATGCATTATTTCGAGGTATAAACAAGTGGTTAGGAGTAGTCCACAAGAAACAATAAACGTAGGTTTCTTACTATTCGATGTTCGTCAGCAGCGTATACCTGTAATTTTGAAGGAACTGGCAGATTCTAGCCCGCATCATCCAACTTCATGGTTGGAGACGTTCCCCAACGAACCTTCCGGACCGTGAGTAACCTCCTGTAAGACTTAGATGTATTTACAACTAATCGATCATTTAGTAATGACCAACATCAAGCACGTCATGTGCTTCTTAATGCTAATCGAATCCTATCGATCAAGTTTGAACTATGTTCTTAATGAATATAGTATGATTTGAACTATGAGTTCTGATTAGTACAATGTAAGCACAGTTTTGATGAACAAGCTGTATCCAATTTTTATTTCCTTAACTCCTCCTCAATCACTAATTATGATTATTTTTCGATTGAAACGTATGTATACTTGTGAGATCAGTGGTTATCGATTTGATGTATTGATTTTATCGATTATAAGAAAGTAACGTGATAGAAGGTGTAAACTATCCATGGATAAGTCCTCAAATACTATCCAAAGTATGACCTCGTAGTCTGAATTGAAGTCTGCTGATTTCTTTCTTACCTCTCAACAGCTGATATAACCTCGATATATCAGGATTTCTGTGTGCAAATGTTAGATTCATTACAAGAGACAAGTCCAATGATCACATCACTATAGCCAGCTACAGTTGAAAATAGATAATTTGATTAGATACAAACATTTATTGTACTTGTATTGATGGAACATTCAGCCTTGTCCTGTTTGAGGCTCATCGACTGGATGTGATCTCACTTTGGGGTTGATGTTCATACAGGAACTCTAACCTGGTACTTTTCACTAAAAATGTTTTCAACGCTTTATCCATTTAGCTATTTAGTCCAAAGAGTTGCTGACTTATGAAATGCGATGAATTTTACTTCAATTATAACGAATATTTCTATCTCCCTATCAATGTCATACAGTACAGTTTATATATCAGTCTATTCATACATTCGCGTTCAAGTCTCGATATGATCAACAGTGCAGTACAGATGTGTCAAGAAGACATGCTTTCAATAGGACAAAACACTTGGACTAAATTTCATTTCTGGCCACTAGCTAACTCTGATTAAAAATGCCTGTGACTTAAAGGTACTTACTGAATTACCTACTTACGCGTGTGATTCCCAGTGGAGAACAGGCCGTCGTCCAGTATTCTACAACCTACTTTATCGTCGACCTTCCTTTCTAGTTCTATCTTGTTGCTGTTCACTCTTTTA